ATATATATATATATATATATATATATAAAGACAAGATTGTCTAGATAAATCTTGTTTTGATGTTTAACATAATTGTTTAACAAAATAACTTCTATTAAATAAACTGTCTAGGATAAACATGCTTAATGCTATATGTATAAACGCTAAACATTATCCTAATCAGACTTCATTAAACACTAGTACATGTATCATGCCTAAATGTTTAAGAACGTTTAATGCATGTATGAAATAGTACTATTGTCTATTGTGATGTGCTCTCTTTTTTCATGCACATCATTTATTCAAAAGTTTCACATTGGATCAGAAGAATGTTAAGAGATAGGAAGATATTTTGAAATGTTTCCTTACTGCTTTTTTCCTTACACATTCGTACAAGCAATACAATTGCATGTGCAAAAACAACATAGCATTTGACCTTATACCTAAAGACTACCTACCCTATGTGAAAGTCAATGCTTTGAGTAACAAATATTTTTTAAAAAAATCTATATAAAGAAGATTGCATGAAGAGAAGATAACAAGAACAAAATTTGTTATTGCTCTTATACTATTAACATTCTCTCTCGCTTACGTTGTCTAGTCTTTTTCTTTGAAAATTAAAACTTCATTACAAGTTGTCAGATATTCCCAGTATTAAAAATTTATTTTCTCTAAGAGATAATCACCTTTACTTGTCTTATAAAAACCTTTTTATATTTGAAATGAATTAAAATATTTGTTTATTTAACTTAGTGAACAATCTAGTAAGTTAGACTAGTATAAAATTAAAAATAGTAAAACTCGTCTGACCAATTAGGTTAGTTTATAAAATAAAAATTTAACAATTTTATATTCACTAACAAGATATTAACCTATTAATATCAAAATGAGTTGAACAATATCTAAGTACGAATTTATTTATCGTACCAATTATTGTTATTTTCTAAATTGTATAAAAATTATACAAAAAAAAATAGAAACAAGATAATGATAATGGTGAAGCAAAGTTTGCATGTGTGTTACCGACAATAAACACAGCACTACTTAAAATAAAGGAGAATCAATGAAGTATATAACAGCAACCATGCCACATCTCAAAAAATCATCAAAACCAGAGGCGATGATGGCGGCGTCTCTTCGCATACACTTTTGATTTCAACACAACACCGTTTCACCTTCAAAACTTTATTCATTTTTTAAGTTTTTCTTTTTCTATAATCATCTACATTTGTTTTCTTTACTATTCTCAACATTTACTTCAGAATATTGAAGTTTTAAAACTAAGTGTTCCAAACATAGTTTCATTTTTAGAGTCTTGATGTCCACATCAACGTATCGATGCCTAGGAATTGGATCGGTCTTGAAGGCGCTTTAAAAGTTATGTTTCTTCCAACTGAGACAACCTTTTTTCGCTACCAATTCTAAACTTATGCTTTCTATAACCGAAAAATATTCAGAATTTTTAACATATGCAATTGTAATAATAGTAACCCTTTAGAGATTCGAGCTAAACTTTAAAGAAAAAATAAAATATTTAGTAATGTATAAAAGTGATTTTTCTTTTTAAAAAGAAGTGTTGTCATGAACATTTTTATCAGTTTACGCACAGAGTATTCCTAGATCTTTCACCGAAAAATGTTAATTTAGGTTTAATATGAATCTCTAGATTTTTAAATCATTTGAAAAAAAAAGTAATTAGATTCATGAAGTAAAATGTGAATATGTGATTAAATGATTGATTTGGTAGATGATTTGGTTGATGTGTTGAACTTAGTTGTGTAGAAGTGGTATCTGAGTTGTGTAATTGAGTGTGAGTGTGTGAGGTGATATTTTTTACTTCTAGCGGATTATTTTAACTAAATTGGTATTGAGTATAATTTGGATAGAGGATAAAAACACTCATTAGAGCCAAAGGTTCATCTAATATGTAGATTTATATGTTTGGTTTATACAAATTTGTTGGACGAATCAAATTCCCACAGAGCAAGCTTTAAAAATAAAAATACAGATAGAATGATGACCTTTCATTTGTTGGCGAGTATGAGCTCGCTAGGTGAACTTGATTTAAAACAAGCTCCTAGGGTCTAAGTCACTAGGCAAGTGAAAGAGTCATTGGACAAGAGTCAATTTCAAAATTGATAAAGACAATGAAGGTTTGGTTGTTGAGCGAGTCTAGTTCGCTTGGTGGCTTTGAATACTATTAGTTCCAAGATCCAAGTTGTTGAGTAGGTATTCCTCCAAGAGTGTCTTGTTGAGCGAAAAGAAACTATTAAGACTCTAATGGTTAAAGTGATATGTGATGATGTGAAATATAGATTTTAAATGATTAGTATGATATTTATTGAATATATTATGTTTTAAAATATTAAAATACTATACATATATGGATGAATGATGTTATAAGTGAATTAATCCTATCATGAGAAATTGAGACTTGGTAAATTTAGGCCTGTCATAACAGATTCATTCATAATCTGATGGCAAGTGCATGACTTTGAGTATTTGACTCCACATATTCCAAAAATTGAGTCTAGAATAAGTCATATTAGAATGTGGTGAATTAATAACATGTTATATTGTGAAATGTGTGGACTAATAACTATGTTTAAATAAGATGGTTTTATAATANCGCTACCAATTCTAAACTTATGCTTTCTATAACCGAAAAATATTCAGAATTTTTAACATATGCAATTGTAATAATAGTAACCCTTTAGAGATTCGAGCTAAACTTTAAAGAAAAAATAAAATATTTAGTAATGTATAAAAGTGATTTTTCTTTTTAAAAAGAAGTGTTGTCATGAACATTTTTATCAGTTTACGCACAGAGTATTCCTAGATCTTTCACCGAAAAATGTTAATTTAGGTTTAATATGAATCTCTAGATTTTTAAATCATTTGAAAAAAAAAGTAATTAGATTCATGAAGTAAAATGTGAATATGTGATTAAATGATTGATTTGGTAGATGATTTGGTTGATGTGTTGAACTTAGTTGTGTAGAAGTGGTATCTGAGTTGTGTAATTGAGTGTGAGTGTGTGAGGTGATATTTTTTACTTCTAGCGGATTATTTTAACTAAATTGGTATTGAGTATAATTTGGATAGAGGATAAAAACACTCATTAGAGCCAAAGGTTCATCTAATATGTAGATTTATATGTTTGGTTTATACAAATTTGTTGGACGAATCAAATTCCCACAGAGCAAGCTTTAAAAATAAAAATACAGATAGAATGATGACCTTTCATTTGTTGGCGAGTATGAGCTCGCTAGGTGAACTTGATTTAAAACAAGCTCCTAGGGTCTAAGTCACTAGGCAAGTGAAAGAGTCATTGGACAAGAGTCAATTTCAAAATTGATAAAGACAATGAAGGTTTGGTTGTTGAGCGAGTCTAGTTCGCTTGGTGGCTTTGAATACTATTAGTTCCAAGATCCAAGTTGTTGAGTAGGTATTCCTCCAAGAGTGTCTTGTTGAGCGAAAAGAAACTATTAAGACTCTAATGGTTAAAGTGATATGTGATGATGTGAAATATAGATTTTAAATGATTAGTATGATATTTATTGAATATATTATGTTTTAAAATATTAAAATACTATACATATATGGATGAATGATGTTATAAGTGAATTAATCCTATCATGAGAAATTGAGACTTGGTAAATTTAGGCCTGTCATAACAGATTCATTCATAATCTGATGGCAAGTGCATGACTTTGAGTATTTGACTCCACATATTCCAAAAATTGAGTCTAGAATAAGTCATATTAGAATGTGGTGAATTAATAACATGTTATATTGTGAAATGTGTGGACTAATAACTATGTTTAAATAAGATGGTTTTATAATATATGATTGTATAAAATACCATTAGTTTAGCTGATTGTTTTCATGATTTTAAATATAATTGTCTACAATGATTGTATTTATATGTGAATAGATAATAGTGCAAATAGAGGATTGAAAAGCAGTGAAATTGTTTATGATTTGTTAAATTATAGTTAATGCATATATATATATATATATATATATATATATATATATATATATATAAAATTATGTACTGTGTAGATCCTCCTTTTATTAAAAAAAATTATATATTCCGAAAAATGTATCATTAAGATTCATGATCCGAAAAATGTATCAATTCATGAAAAATTATAAATACGTATTATATATTTATGTCATGATTTATTACTTAATATCTAATTTATAATAATTCATTTAGTATAAATATGCTAAATTGGATTGTTAATTCTTACCTAATATATTATGACATTTAAAATCATAAACATTTATATAACATGTTCACAATAAAGATTAATTTTAACTCACTTTCAATATTCATATTTACTCTTCATTATTTTATTTTCTTTTAATCACTTAGTAATTTGAACGTCGAAGCTTAATTGTTATGTCGACTTCCATGCAATGTTATACTCAATCAATCAAGACCTTAGCTCATACTTAAAATAGTTTTAAAACGTCTCCCAAAAAAGGAAAAAAAATTAGTCGAATCATTTATCCAAACATTCCCTATGGCGATAACAGAATCCCTTTCATTACAAGGTAACTGAGTTTCTTCATTCAGAAGTTGAGTAGTTCGATAGCTCCAACCAATACTTATGGCATAAGTGTTATCTCTAGATAATTTTAATTATAGATGACTCATCCAGTCTTTCTTGATATAAAAAGTGCACTTGCGATAGCAGATTAACCAGCATTACAAGCTGTATAATAAAGTATAAATAAATGGAATACAACAAATGGGGTGTGTACCCGTTCTCTTCTCTTTTCTTAATATCAACTTCAAAGTCATCAAAACAAATTCAAAACCATTAATTTGTACTATAGAGTACTCATTCATTTTTATCAATGATGAATGACAATAATTGCTTATTCATCTAAAAAGTTATACAATGAAAAATACGGCACAAGCAAACTCCTGAGTCGAAAAGACTGAGATGCATTTTGAAAGTCCTCAATTAAAGCACGAATCTCTTCCTGAGAACTAATGTGGAGAATCGGTTGTCACCTCTATAGCATCATTTCTTTCACTGTAAATTTTGATGAGCAATTATATTTACAAAAACTCTCCAAATTGGAAAAATAGTTCACAATTTCAAACAAGAACCGAACTCTTGAAAAATAAGGCTATATCTAAGGGAAAGTAGCTCACAATCACATGCAACAGATGGTCAATGACATGTTTCAGCTGGAAACTCTAGGTTGCTTGCATCCATGCTCTGGTAAAAGGTTATCAGATGCTGCTCTTTTTGGTTTCAACTGAAAAATACGAAAGATCATTGACATCTATTAGATCCCTGTGGGCTGATGAATGGATGGTAGGAATGTGTACAAGCATGTGCAGACCTAATTGTACCAAAACATATTGGAATTAACTTTTAAGAGTTACTAACCTTCTCCTCAGCATGCTGATAGATATGTCTCAGTAGGATAATTTTGGCCTCAGTACTTATCACTGTCAGAACAAATTTCAGCAACAAGTTAACAAACCCTCAGTTACCAAACATCAGTAATAATTCTACCCAAAATAAAAGAGAGACAGAAAATGAGGGATGCAAAAAAAGAAAAAATAAAAACCAGCAACAAATGTTTTTCATGTTTCTTACCTTTCTATATAAGCAAAATTTAGTGTGTGGCAAACAGAGAAAATAAAATTAAAGTAATGGGTTTAAAGCACCTAATTTGGATCCTCCTCCAAAATCATGACTAAAGGAAAATACATTTTTCAAACAGATTATTGATCAGATAAAAACAGAGCAAAGCATTGGCCCAGAAGTAGAAAAAGTTCTAGTGACTACCTTGATCAGGTGGTGGAAGGGTTCTGCTGTGAGTAGGATGGTAAGTGGCCGGTGCCATTTTCTGCATGACAATAGAAGTTTACTCTTCAGAGAGCAAATGAAAATATATGATTAGGTGATCCATAGTACACTTCAGAAAAGAAAAGAGTAACGAGATGCAAAACGGGGCATGTTTAGTTTTCAGCTGAGAGATCCCCAACGTTTATTCAAAAAGTAAAACTGAGAAAATCTCTTGCTCGATTTTCAGTTGATATCATTGCAAACTGAGTTTTGCCTCTAGTTTGAAATGGAAGATAGAGAAAGCCGTTTTACAAACTAAGTCCGTAACATAAAGTTCGTTCAGTGTGTAACATAAGGTTCATTCAAACTTAAGTTTCAAACTTCAGTCGAAGTATGCACAAAGAAGTTGTTGGCCCTAAAACTGTTTCTTTTATCCATGGCTTGATTAGAAAAAAGGAAATGAATAGTGGAATCATACTTTTATGCTTCAGCATAGGTATTAAATGAATCTAATGGTCTCCTTCATCTTTAATAGATAAATTTAATGAGTAATGCTTATTTATTTGTAATTTTGTGGATTAGCGATTCTAATAATCAATGGAAAAGAAAAGTACAACTACATTCAGCAAAAGGTATTGTAAAACAACTAAATTTGTATCAGGCTAATGGAAACTAATATATGTCTGAAAGCTGGAAAGATTTTCTTATAATATAAAGGAAAAATTACGTATAAAACTAGCCTTTCCAACTATTTAGAAAAAAAGTAAAGCAATTATTTTTGAAAGAAGAATTAATTGCTACAATATTGAACAAGAAAACCAAACTTAACAGTATTATGTTTAGAGTGAAAAAAAACAACAAAAGGAAACAGAAAATCATCCCATGCTTGAAAAGTTTAAAACTTCGAAATTTATGAGTGCTTCAACCTTAGGTGAAGGACAAATTGCACAATGCCATCCTATTATGAATTAGTAATAACAATCATAACAACAGAATACTGTCATTGTGGATACAACGGAACAAACGAAAAAATGTAATGATTGCAAACACATGCTCTTATACACTACAACTTCTCTACCATGTACCAACTTAAAACTTTAACGAACAATCTTAAATGAAAATATAGATTGAAATAAGCAAGTATGTCACTAGAAGAAAATCTTATCTTGATGGCTAACAACCAAATTTTGTCCTCAGAGACAAGTAGGTTGAGAATAAAAAACAGGGCAATTCTCTCTTCCCTAAGCATCCAACCCAAATAAACCCAAATAAATGTCTATAGATGAGACCGTAGTAAACGGAAAACTCAGAACTACAATCAGATTTCTCAGCAAGTGATAAAGCATACATTTGCATGATTGAAGAGTCATTACCAAGATTATCAATTTCTTAGACTACACAACTTACAGAAGAACTTGAAGGATCGGAAGGTCGAAGCTGACTGAAGTTGTGAGGGTCATAGGATGGCCAATTACCCAGTACAGACTCCATAGAGTGATGGTTGCTGCTACAAATTTCAGAGAGATTAAGGCGTGAAAAAAAAGAAAATGGATGAGGAAGGCAATGACACACACAACACAAATTCCCACTCGAGAAACAGCTGTTGTGGACTGAACTTCACTTCACATTTGTGCACTCATTGCAAAGGACACCACACCACTCCACACCACCTGTCCTAACTCTAAACCCAATTATTCATTCCCGCTTGGCACAGGATTATATTTGTGGCTGGTAAACTGCAATTTACGAAAAAGGGGTAAGTGAATTCCAATTAAGGAAAAGGAAGAAAAAATCCTAAAAACATCAATCCAGTGCATGAAGAATAAAATTCACCAAAACTCTGAACTATTAGATTATCAATCAATACAGACTTTTAGGCTCACAATGAACTCGTCAAATGAAAACACACATCCAAGAACACTGAAAGCCAAAAAATTGAAGATCCAGTGTTGTTTGAACGAATCAGATATTGGAAAACAGTAACAAGATAAGAAGTGAAAGCGTTAGAAATAATCCGAGTCCAAAGACAGTAGAAATATTGGTGAGTGTCTAAGCATTACATTACCCTATGAAATTCTGAATAGGGATTTCAGATCTATGGTGAATGTGGTAAAGTTATGTTATGGTTGGAGAAGTGAAAGAAAAGGGTAAGGTGGGCAAAATGAAAAGCTGAAAATTGCAGCCACCATTAACGACTGATCATTAATTAAAGTAACTCATGAGTTCCTTCATATAAACCACTCATACCTAATTTTATTACAGATTTTTTAAATAACTTCACACACAATTATTTTATAATTTTGTATTTAAATTTGATTATGAAAGATAATAATATTTATTAATATAAATTAAATTTTTTTATAAAAATATTAATGAAATGCTTTTGGTCAAAAACTGAATATGTAAAAGCTGAAAATTTGATGTTGCATAAAACTGAATTTCCAGTGTTATGCATTCCTGTGTTAAATACTATTTTGGTTTAATCCTGGTTCTAACTTTTGGAGGTTTGGTTCAAAATGGTCTCACCTTAAAAAGTTCAGTAAGACTCCATATTTTGTTTAAAAATGTTCAATTCGATCATTTTCATGGACGTCGTTAAAAACTTAACAGTATTGATGCCACTGTAGCCAAATCTGAGTGATGTGTTATGTTGGATGATTACGTGACACTGTGAAGTGAAGTGAGTTGGTGAAAATATTTTAAAAAAATAAACGACCTTAATTTGGGTGGTAGGTTTAAGTGTGGGTTTTAAAACAAAATTACCTTATCTAAAGACCTGATTTAGGCATTTCTGGGTAAATAACCTTGTGCTGCAAGTGGTTTTGGCTGGTGATTCCTTCAAATGAAATTGGAACAGCGTCGTGCGCGCGTGAGATAAGGTGGTCCTAATCAAGGCTAATAAGTTGATGTTGTTGTATTTGGGATAGGGTTTCATTATATTTTGTTTGCTTGACGATGATTCTGTCACCGAAACTGCTTCTCCTTCTTGTGAAAAATTCAACCAGAAACAGAGAAGAAAGGGAAAGAAGAAGAATGATATCCCCCCTTCCTACAAGCCACAACAAACCAGAAACGAAAAAGAAGAGCTGTCTCCCGATAGCGAGCTTCTCTCGCGACTGACCGAAGAACACCCTCCCAAGTTGGGTTTGTTCGAGACAAGAAAATGGATTTGGGAAAAAAGTTGTTATTAGAGTTCTTTAGGTGTGAAACAAGCATTTGAGGAATTAAATTTAGGGTTCAAACCTAATGCATCCAATTAGAATTCAGAAATAATAGAAATTGATAACTAAAAGTGATTAAAAGGAAATCCCATCCTAATTAATTATAATTAAAAGAAATACCCAAATCCCCAACCCTAATTATCTAGAACCACTTGCAGCAACTGTTTATCCAGAAATCCCCAAATCAGTTTATATAAAGGTAATTTGGTTTAAAACCCACACTTAAACCTACACCCAAATTAAGTCATTGTTATTTTTTAAATATTTCCACCAACTCACTTCACTTCCCAGTGCCATGTAATCATCCAACATAACACCTCATTCAGATTTGGCCATAGTGACATCAGCACCGTTAAGTTTTTAACGGCGTCCACGAAAATAACCGAATTGAACATTTTTAAACAAAATATGGGGCCTTACTGAACTTTTTCAAAAGGTATGACCATTTTGAACCAAACCCCCCAAAGTTGAGACCAAATGATGTATTAAATCTATTTTAAATTAAAAATAACGCTGTTACAAAGAAATGCATAACACTAGAAATTAAATAGTATTTAAAAATACATTGTATTCCATAAAATTGATTTTAATTATTCATTTTCTATATGTATTAGCATTTGTAAACAGTAACAAACGTGCATAATATTTCATTATTGATCAACACACCTTCATGATACAACAACTTAGCTTAAAAAGAGCTAAATGAGAAGAAAATAAAAGATAACTGCTATAGACAGAAAAAACATAAAAATTTTGGAATAGTCAACACTTTTATCGACATTGAGATATTATGTCTAACACAACTTCAAGTTGGGTGGTGTACCTAAATGAGACTTATTTAATAATCAAATATATTTAAACTTTATTCTAGTATATATAAATCGTATTTATCAAATTTAGTATAAATATAATCAATTTTTAGTCTATGTAAAGATTTTAAATATTTGTTTTTGTATTTGAGTAATACTAAATTGTTAATGATTTATGAAAACGACATAAAAGACAACTTAACAATCCAAAAGACTCCTATTTAACAACAAATTCGGAATATTGTTCCATATAAATCTCTTTTAGTAAATCTCATTAAAAAATGCATGGTTGACATACAATTGATAAAGAGATCTTTGTTGAAGATTATCATGTACTATAAATAATCTAATAGAAAGTCATCTAGAAAAAAAAAATATTGGACGAGTTCAAACATACCAGTGACCGAAGATGTTTTTTTGACAAAAGAGACAACAATAATCCTGAAAGAAGAAAAAGGTTGTGTATGTTGTATATTAACGCTTTGAATCACTACTAGAAAGATACCATGCGTAAGAACTATGATGGAAATAAAAGATAACATATCTATCTCAAATATCTAATAATCTAACATATCTAACAATACCTAACTTGGATACATTTGATTCAAAAAGGTGCAGAAAATAAGACTTTAGTAAAGACATAAGCAAGCTCATGTTTTGAAGGAATATGAGAGAAAAGAATAAGGCCTTCAACGATCTTTGTACGTATGAGATGATAATCCATTTCTATGTACTTGGATCTTTCATGGAAGGGGAGATTTTCGGCCATTTGAATTGCTGATTGATTATCACATTGGATAAAGAAAGGCAGAAGAATATTCAGAGAAAGATCATCAACAATATATTTTAGCCATTGTAACTCACATGCAATTGTGGTTAAAGCTCGCACACTTATTCGCCTCTGTGGAGCTTCTTGAAACAAGTGTTTTGCTTCTTGAAACAATGTTTTGTTATTGAGAGTTCCAGGAAATTAAAGAATTATCATAGAGATGCAGTATCTAGAAACAATTCAGAATACCTTTGCAAATTTTTCCTAGTCTGAATTTGTGAATGCTTGGATTTTGTTAGAATTTTGAATTGGATAAAAAAAGACCTTTATTTGATGCATTTTTGAGATATTTTAGAATCTAGGAAGTAGCTTATGTTGGGCCTTTTGTGTTAGATACAACGGTTTACCAATTAGTTTGCGAAAGTTGGTGGAACTAGTGAGTAAGTCTCCTTCTTTGACTCTAAATCTACTGAGTAATCACCCTTCATGTTGTTCACTTTGGAGTCTCTATTTCATCATCCTTTTGTCCTTAAAAGACGCCTTAAAGTGTGGAATGAATATGCCCAGTGACATAGTTAGAATTTATTATTTTTTGTCTGAGGTATTATCTACTTTCCATCATGGTTTTGTTCTTAGAAGGTATCACATGAGAGTGGAAGGAGAAAAAATATTTAAATTGTCTTTAGTTTTGATTCCTAAACGATGTAAAACTATCAAACTTAATAGCAACCAAGAGCTAACATGTCTGCAACCAGTTAGGCTAAATTCGGAAAGAATGTCAAGACAATATTAACGTTGATTGATGACCAGATCACGCTGGGATCTTGCAACCTTAAATCCAAAAAAATACTTCAACTCACCTAGATCTTTAATATGAAACTGATCATTGAGATAAAATTTGATTTGATTAATCATGCAAAGGTTGTTTATAGTGATGACTATGTTATCGACATAGACCAATAAAGTTGTTGTGAAGGATGAATCAGTTAAAGAGTAATCAGCCATACTCTGGATGAAACCAAACTGAAAGACATAAGAGGTGAGTTTTGCATTATATTGTGACAGCTTACTTGTCTAAGACCATACAAGGACTTGTGTAATTTGCAAACAAGCTTTGGAGATGGAATGTAGAGCTAGTGAAGGTTTCATGAACACTTCTTGATTTAGTTCACCTTGTAAGAAGACATTATCAACATCAAGTTGATATAAAATCAAGCCGCCAAAGGACGTAGCAAGGAGAAAGAAGAAAACAAACGGTGGTTAAGTTAACCACATGTGAGAGTAGAAGCATAGGTCAAACAACTAAAAACATGTGGGCTAAAATAGGAGTATTATCATGTACTAATTCGTACGAAGATTCGAGATTGAGAAAAGGAGTAGGAAACTTGTTGATGCTAGGCACTGCATGTTTGAGAGTAAAAGGCCAAAAAGAGGTTGGTAAATTTGATTGAATAAACAATACACTAATAACATTTAATAGATATTGATGCTTGAGTTCAATAACATTGTTTTGTTGAGGAGTCTCAAACACAAGTCATGAAAAATACCTTTATTTGAGTAAAAATGAGTTAGGAGGAGCTCTTTGCCATTATCGGATTTGATTTTCTTGAGTTTGAAAGAAAACTGGTTTTCAATTAACTGAATTAAAGAGGGGAAAATGTTTTTAACATCATATTTTGTTTTTAAAGGGTGAATATAAGTGAAACGTGAAAAATAATCTACAATAGTCAAGAAAAACTTAAAACAATCAAAGATGCAAACAATCAAAGACAATGTCATTATTTTTAGAAAATAAATGTTTTAACATTTTTGTTTGAATTGTGACCTAGTCTTAAATGCCATAGCATGAATCTTTCAATATGCATTACAGAGGAAATGAATTTTTGAACTGCAGTATTGGAATAAGATCCACATGATTTCCAGTCATCAATAATCTGGAAGTTGGATTTCTGCATGATTAAACAGGTTAAATCATAGAAGACAATCATGCAGTCAGTGGTAGAAAGAAGTTTAGGAATAGAAACGAGATAGGCTACAAAACATCAGCGAATCTTTATTATCCCAAACAAATTTAATCCGCAAGTATATGCAGGGTGGGTGATTTTTTTGCCAATCCTAAATATACAACTCTTTCAACGGTAAAGCACCTTATTAAATTATCCACTATCCACGAATCTTATTATCCGCAAATATCAATTACTCCAAACAAATTTAATCCGCAAGTAAATGCGGGGCGGGTGATTTTTTTACTCTTTGAACGGTGAGGCACTTTATTAGTACAATCTAACCTTTCTTTGTCGAGGTTTCAATTACTTTTAATTATATTTTATATTTAATTTTTTTTCTCTGTCAAGAAGATTACCCAATTAAAAATCATTACAAAATAGAAAAATATATGTAGTTAAAAAACCTGTCTAAGTAGTTTGTAAAGTATGTAAAATTGATTAACTTTTTTGTTAAGTAGTTATGTTTTTGTTTCCGAGTCTTTAGTAAAGGCTATCCTCTCCACTACTCTCTTTTCTTAATATTCGAATGAAAATGCTAAATAAATTGTTAAAATATTTATAGTTTTAAAACTCAATTCAATAAAAAATAAATTGAATTTAGTTTAAAAAATTCAATAGAAAATACTTTTATTTATCTATTATTGCAGCATACATGTTTTAAACTAATGCATTACTTTTTCTATTTTTTTTATCATAATTTTCAATGCATTTTTTATGTGTTTTTTTAATAAAGCATGACAAAAAGTTTTTATTTTGACTTTTTTAACTCATGTCTTTATGACATTGGTAAACAAGAGTAACTATTATTAATATTAAAAGTAGAAATAAGTCAGGTTACTTGTAACATATAATATAATCATATATAATATATCTGGATTTATAATATTTTATATAAATTAAAAAAAATATATATATATATATATATATATATATATATGAATATACAACTTGCAAATGTATAGTCTCAAGTGGTTAAATTCTCCCATATGTATCATCATTATTATGTAACATACTATTATAGTAAATAGACAACCATAGACAACAAAAAAAATATAAAGATGGGCTTATTTTGTTTCTATAAACTTCTTTTTGATGCATTTCATTACAATTATTTTTTAATTAGATATTCATAATTTAATTCATCATTCACAAATCAATCACCCAATACACAACCTAATATCATTCAATTACAATTAATCATTTTTTATGATATTGACATGATTTATACTTAAAATTTTGAAATAACATGTATTGAACTAAATATGCATGAAGTCTTGTACGTTTCATGTAATATATCTACGATGGTTTAAACAAAATAATTGTTGTGCCTCTACTTGACACACATATAGTGGATTTGAAAAAAATAACTATTATGCCTTCATTTGATACATCAATACCATGACAAAGTTAATTATTTCATTACTTTATGTCACAAAACTATTTTATATCAACTTAACAAGACTTTTTTTAACTCTCACCACCTAAACTATATTCTCTATATTATAATGACTTCATAATCGAGACTCTTACTTAATACATATCTTTACATTAGATAATGCAAGAATTCTCCTTAAAAATAATCACATTCATACAACATAAGTTAACCATACTTTTCAATTACAGTTTTTATCTAAAATAAGAAAATCATCATTAGATATCCTAACATTAGACAATGCAACAATTCTTTTTAAAATTAATCAATTCATACAACACAAGTTAACCTTACTTTTCAATCACAATTTCAATCTAAAATAAGGAAATCATCACCATCAACATTAAAAACTCATTCTTTCATTCTCACTCATTCTTACTCATTCTCATCAAACTAAGAAAAACTTTTAGAGAAATCTCTAACCTTAACTAAAAAATTCACCAAATTTATCATCATTCCTTTCCATGTTTTACTATACTCTAACATTTAAAACCATATTTAATTTAATCAACATTGTAACATCTCATCAGTCATCACAAACTCGCTCAACACCCCCAACAAAAAAAGGGTGTACTACGGAAACAAAACAGAAAACTATTGCCCATTGGTGCTCAATGCTACTTTACATGCACCCAATGGTACTAGTCAACACCCAAAGACTCAAGCCTAGCACCCAACTCTTAGTGCTCACTAAAATTTAATTTACTAGTAATATATAGCTGCTCTGAGACATCATCCCATGTGAAATACTAAAATTTGATATACATATCAAATTAATCCATCTATCAGAACTATTTTACTTTCTTCTTTTAAAAAAATAGGGTTAAATATGTTTTTCGTCCCTTAAGTATCACACGATTTTGGGTTTAGTCCTTACTCAAAACTTTTGTTCCTTTTAGTTTTTTTAGTTTTAAAACTCGTATTTTTAGTCCTTAAAAAGCAACGAGGTTAGATTTCCTGTGAGGTGGCTAATGGCGAGCCACGTCAGATGTCACTTTCCCTGATAACTTTGTGTCACGTTGTTTTTTTTTCTTTTTCTCTCTTTTACTACTCTTTTTGCTAAGAACCCTAATTATTTTCAAACATAAAAAACCCCTAATCTGATTTCATAAATGATTGAAGACATGTTCGCGTAAAAGTGCTTGATGCGTGATTTGCGCGAAGTTGAACGGAGAAGACAAAGAAGCGTTAAGAGATGGAGGTTGCTTCGCACAGGTTGTTGCAGGCGTAATGGCTTGGACGAAGGTTGAAGGAGATGAGGGAGGCGTTTAATGCTTCCATGGTGCGATTAAGACGAAGGAGGTTCTCTGAATGGTGGCGCAAAGGAGGAAGATGTCTCGCGAGTTAGGGTTTCACGATTTGGATTGTTGATTTCTGGAATTTGTTATTCAGGTGCGAAGGTGCGAAGAGGTTGATGACGTGCGATTTCACGAGTGTAATTTGGGGTTTTATGATTTCTTTGCATTCGATTGGATTTTTCTTTTGTAGATTTCCATGGTGATTTCAATTTAGTGAAGGAGATTAGTGTAGGGAGATCGTTGTGATTACCCTTTTGTAGGAGTTGTTCATGGTGGACTCATGGTGATGACCATGGAAGTAATTGAATCGCGAGGGAATTAAGAAGGGGCAAAAATTGAATCGTGGGTTGAACTGATGTATGCAGAATTTGAACTTGTGCCTTTTTTAGTATCTGAACCTGATGAGTTTGTTGTTATTTGGTGGGAGAGGGAGAGATGGGTGTTGCTGCTATTGTCGGACTTTTGATTTTTGCTAAGAACCCTAATTATTTTCAAACATAAAAAAGCTCTAATCTGATTTCAAAAAATAAAAGCAACGTGACACACAAATGGTATCAGATTGACTTGTCGTTAGCCACCTCACAATGAAATCTAACACCATTATTTTTTAAGGACTAAAAATACGAGCTTTAAAAATAAAAGGACTAAAAGGAACATCTTTTTTACTTGCTTCTTTTAAAAAAATAACCTAATTTAATGAAAATCTTCCCCCTCTCTATATATATTTTCTACTTACAAAGAAATAAAATTTTAATTAGAATAAGAATTTTATATAAAACTATTGTATTAAAAGTAGAAAAAGTAGATAAAAAAAGTCTTAAAAATTAATGAAATAATAAGATTAAAAACGTAAATTAAGATTACAAATGTTTACAAATACTTCAAGAAGAATACTAATATATACACCGTATTAAATACCACATCGTTTTTCCCAAATGCCTTAAAAGATATTTATAAATGATGCAGGCAGCAATAAAAATTACACTTGTAATCTCCAACGCACTTTATAAAATATTTTCAATAAAAAATCTTAAAGGTATATAATTAAACCATTTTTTAAGTATATTAATATATTTTTGCTAACAATGAAATAAAATATTAATTAAAGTAAATAAAGTGAAAATATTATAAAATTATTATATTAGAAAAAAATAGACATAAAATCTTAAAAATAAAATACTATAATAATCCTCCTAGAAAATAAATTAAAACTTCATATTTGACTTCCATTAAAAAAGTTATTCAATATTACTACCATGAAGAGATAAACTCATGTTAACAAATATTTTGAGAAAAACATTTAATACACCATATTAAATACTATATTGTTTTGAGCAAACTGCCTTAAAAGATGGTTATAAAAATATATAGGAAATAATAAAATGACGTTTGTAATAAATGTATTGACGACATCATTAATTAACTCATAATTATTATACTATTTAATAAAGCTTACGAAGCTTATTGGCACTAATTAATTACACTATTTAACTTAATCCAATATGTGGAAAAGAGAAAGAAAGATCCAACTCAGCACGAAAATCCCATGACTTTCCTAAACCACTCTTCTTCAACAACATAACGACATAAATGCTCAATTTATTCAATTTATTTCTCTCTTTCTTTAAATCTTTGCAAGCTCTCTTCTGCAAATGCACTTCTTCTTCCTCTCAAACCTCAAAACCCCAATCCTAAAACCCTAGCGAGACAAAGCCATGTCTGACGTCTTCTGCACTGACTGCAAGAGGCAGACGGAGGTCGTCTTCGACCACTCGGCGGGGGACACCGTCTGTTCCGAGTGCGGTCTCGTCTTGGAGTCTCACTCCATTGACGAAACCTCCGAGTGGCGAACCTTCGCCAACGAGTCCGGCGACAACGACCCCGTGCGTGTTGGCGGGCCCACCAACCCGCTTCTCACTGACGGCGGCCTCTCCACCGTCATAGCCAAGCCGAACGGCGCCTCTGGCGAGTTCCTCACCTCCTCACTCGGCCGCTGGCAGAACCGCGGCTCCAACCCCGACCGCGGACTCATCGTCGCCTTCAAAAGCATCGCCACCATGTCCGATAGGTCATGCACTACGCATTATTTATTTATTTGTTTAAATTAGTTGAGAATGGTTTTTTTGTCGTATTGGCTGACGTGGCTGGCGGTGGAATTTCAGGTTGGGACTTGTTGCAACTATCAAGGTATTGCACATTATGTTCTTGATAACTTTCTTTAGTAGCTATAAACCGTTACCTTTCTTAAACCATGATCAAGAATGTGTTTGAATGTAAAATAATTCGGTTGAAAGGAGTCAAATCTAATTTTTCTGCTGAATTGTGAATCAACTTGTTTGGATTTCTTGTTGTGGAGATGCCATGGCGGCCATTCCTTCAGAAATCATCCACCACGGCATTTGCAATGGTGGCCATGGGACCGCCATTGAACAAGGTTCTTGGTAGTGTCATTCATACCCATTGGAGTAATGGATCACTTTACTTATTGTTGCAATTCGTTTGTGGCGATGCACTGGTATTTCCATTTAACGAAACGGGACTCAAGGTCATAACCATCTTCAAAATTTTGGAAACTTTTTAATCATAAAAATTGGACCCTTTATGTTAAAAATAACAGCACAATTTAACATTTGAAAGTATTACTATATATAATTTTTTTTTTCACAAAATAAAGCAAAAGTTGTGAACTTCTACCATTTGAAGCCCTTTACATCTCTCTGGCCAGAATCCAGTCTTGAAAGGTCCCACCTGCATGGGAGACATGTTCTTCTGTTACTCCTAATTTAGTCGACTTTAAATTCCTGACTTCAACAAAAGGTTAAATGCTGGACAATTGTTTAATTTTTGGAATTAAAAATGTGAATAGAGCATTTTACGGAATATCAATTGAAATTCCCTAAAAATTAGGTTACTCTCATCGAAACACGTATAAAAGTTTCTTATGTATACGAATGTGGTGAGACAAGCATGAAATTATGAGTGGTGATTTCATTTTTACTCAAAGTAAGAGGGTCGAACCATGTTTATTAATGGCAACCGATTACGTTGAATTTGACACAACAATGTTTATATTCTTTGCATTATATCAACTGCTCCTTGAAGCAGTTATTAGTTTATCTTGAGTTAAACATTGAAATTTATGGAAAATTAGTTTTTGTTCCCCTCTTATGTTATTTTTTGCATTTGATTTGAAGGATCGGGCTAATGAGATATATAAACGAGTTGAGGACCAGAAGTCTAGTAGGGGAAGAAATCAGGATGCATTATTGGCTGCTTGCCTCTACATAGCTTGTCGACAAGAGGACAAGCCTCGCACTGTAAAGGGTGCAACCTTATGTTTCTTTTGACCTTTGATGCTTCCTGATTTATCTTTTCCTAAAGTTACCTTACATGAACCTATGGATTTGAAATAGAAATTTGCTCTGTTGCCAATGGAGCTTCCAAGAAGGACATTGGCCGAGCGAAAGAATACGTAGTGAAACAACTGGGTTTGGAGAAGGGCCAATCTGTAGAGATGGGAACAATACACGCTGGGGACTTTATGGTGAGGTTTTTTAATTGTTGAAGGTTGCTTATGTTGCACGGCTAGCCAATTTAATCATTGGGTTAGCTGACGAATAAATTTTTGTTTGTTCCACTGACATTATTTCTCCTCAATCATTAGAGGCGTTTTTGTTCTAATCTCGGTATGAATAATCAAGCTGTTAAAGCCGCTCAGGAAGCTGTTCAGAAATCAGAAGAATTTGATATAAGGTCAATTTTATTTTGTCTTGTATTTTCTTTAGAGAATGATATAGTTCAGTGTTAAGGTTAGCTGCCATGTTATTTACCTTTTCATACTATTACATTATTGTTGATTATGAATTCAATAAATACCTTGGTGTCACTACTATTGAGGAATTTCAGGTGGAAAAAGTTGGCAATACTGTGACAAAAATGAACCAACCACACTAGCATAAGATTAGCGCTTTATAATTATAAGTGCTCAAGGGTTACGAGACTGGACGGGGGATATGGTTAAGGGTAGTATGCAATAGCTTTGAATTTGAACTCTTTCTCCTTTAACTAGGCAAATGATGAGTTTGTGGGTCATGAACTAATGTTAGACATATATAGGCTTGCTTTATTGTATTACACGCTTGCGTGACTCAATTTGAATTTAAAGGACAAATCATTTGCGCTGTCCTCTCACCACGAATCCATTTTAGTGTTTATTGCTTTCTTCAGCCTGTTTGATTGCACCACGAATGCATTTCCTTTTTTCATAATTTTTTTATTTATCTTGTGATAGATACTAATAGCATCTCTTAATCTGCAGGAGAAGCCCCATATCAATTGCTGCAGCAGTTATATACATTATAACTCAGCTTTCCGATGATAAAAAACCCCTCAAAGGTCAGTGCCACTTCTCCTAGGGTGAATGAAATAAGAACATTTCGACTGGTTAAATTGTCTACTCTATTTCTTATGTGATAAATTTGGAATTAAATTCGATTTCAAATAAGTTTCTAAAAGAGTATTCAAATGTATGAAGGTCTTAGTGATCATAAGAATTAGCCGCTGCGCTATTATGATATATTTGTATCTGACCTACTGTGTTAGTGCAGATATATCAGTTGCTACAGGAGTTGCAGAAGGAACCATTAGGAACTCGTACAAGGATCTTCATCCTTATGTTTTCAAAATAATACCAAATTGGTATGCAAAGGAAGAGTATTTGAAGAACTTATGCAGCCCTTAGAGAAAAAAAAAAAATTAACGACCACATTTAACAACTTAGATGCCTTTGGAATGTTCTGTCCTTATGTACTGACTGTTTTATAGTTTTAACTCAATGAAAATGCCTCTTTTTTTATGTTATTTTTACTTTTGCGTGGCATTTTTCTTATATTGTGTTTGGATGAGGTAGTTTAAAAGGATAATTAATTTATTTGAAGAATTAATTTTTTTTACACTAAAATGACTTTTTTAGATAAAGTAATTAAAAGAAATTGAAATTTAAGAAAATTTGAAAAGTATTTTAAATGAATAAAATAAAAAAGTTTCAAATACACTAAAATAATAAAAGAAATATGAAATTCTACTCCTATTCACTCTTTTTACTTTTCTCATGAAGGTTCAGTTGTGTCGGCTATCAGTGAAAACTAAAAGATAATTTAGGTCGGTCAAGATTAAAGGTGAGGTTTAGATTGAAGTTTGAGTTGAGTAAGGAAAAATTGAAGTTCTTGATAGGTTGGTTGAGGCCATAAGTCTTGATGGGTCGACCAAGTTGAATGTAGAGGTGAGTTCACTCGAGATGACAATCTAGACGTAACAAATCAGGTTAAAGACGGTTTGACCTGGGTTAAAGGACGAGACAAGTCAATTTGGGTAAGGATAAGATGGTTCAAGTCAAGTTGATGGTCGAGTCAATTTAGCTCGGATTAAAGGTTGTCCCGGGTTGAAGATCGTTTTTATTCAACCTAGGCTAGAGGTTGAGTTCATTTGCATCAAATTGAATGTTGAGTTGATTTGGACTACGCCGAACGTAGAGTCAATTCAATCATTTCAAAGGTCGACCTTGTTCGGCCTAGGTTGAAGTTCAAGCCAATTTGAATCGAACTAAAGATCGAGAATATTCTACCCAAACCGAAGGTTGTGTTGATTCCACCAAGGTTGAAGGTAAAAAAGATTTGGGGCGAAGGTCAAGACGAATCGACTTGGGCTATAGGTTAAGTTAAGTCATCCTTGTTTGAAGTACAAGTCGATTCACCCCAAGCTGAAGGTCGAACTAATTTGGCCTAGACTAAAGGTCAAACTAAATCAGCCAAAGATAAAGGTTCAAGCAATTAAGGTCGGATTGAATATCANTATATATATTTTCTACTTACAAAGAAATAAAATTTTAATTAGAATAAGAATTTTATATAAAACTATTGTATTAAAAGTAGAAAAAGTAGATAAAAAAAGTCTTAAAAATTAATGAAATAATAAGATTAAAAACGTAAATTAAGATTACAAATGTTTACAAATACTTCAAGAAGAATACTAATATATACACCGTATTAAATACCACATCGTTTTTCCCAAATGCCTTAAAAGATATTTATAAATGATGCAGGCAGCAATAAAAATTACACTTGTAATCTCCAACGCACTTTATAAAATATTTTCAATAAAAAATCTTAAAGGTATATAATTAAACCATTTTTTAAGTATATTAATATATTTTTGCTAACAATGAAATAAAATATTAATTAAAGTAAATAAAGTGAAAATATTATAAAATTATTATATTAGAAAAAAATAGACATAAAATCTTAAAAATAAAATACTATAATAATCCTCCTAGAAAATAAATTAAAACTTCATATTTGACTTCCATTAAAAAAGTTATTCAATATTACTACCATGAAGAGATAAACTCATGTTAACAAATATTTTGAGAAAAACATTTAATACACCATATTAAATACTATATTGTTTTGAGCAAACTGCCTTAAAAGATGGTTATAAAAATATATAGGAAATAATAAAATGACGTTTGTAATAAATGTATTGACGACATCATTAATTAACTCATAATTATTATACTATTTAATAAAGCTTACGAAGCTTATTGGCACTAATTAATTACACTATTTAACTTAATCCAATATGTGGAAAAGAGAAAGAAAGATCCAACTCAGCACGAAAATCCCATGACTTTCCTAAACCACTCTTCTTCAACAACATAACGACATAAATGCTCAATTTATTCAATTTATTTCTCTCTTTCTTTAAATCTTTGCAAGCTCTCTTCTGCAAATGCACTTCTTCTTCCTATCAAACCTCAAAACCCCAATCCTAAAACCCTAGCAAGACAAAGCCATGTCTGACGTCTTCTGCACTGACTGCAAGAGGCAGACGGAGGTCGTCTTCGACCACTCGGCGGGGGACACCGTCTGTTCCGAGTGCGGTCTCGTCTTGGAGTCTCACTCCATTGACGAAACCTCCGAGTGGCGAACCTTCGCCAACGAGTCCGGCGACAACGACCCCGTGCGTGTTGGCGGGCCCACCAACCCGCTTCTCACTGACGGCGGCCTCTCCACCGTCATAGCCAAGCCGAACGGCGCCTCTGGCGAGTTCCTCACCTCCTCACTCGGCCGCTGGCAGAACCGCGGCTCCAACCCCGACCGCGGACTCATCGTCGCCTTCAAAAGCATCGCCACCATGTCCGATAGGTCATGCACTACGCATTATTTATTTATTTGTTTAAATTAGTTGAGAATGGTTTTTTTGTCGTATTGGCTGACGTGGCTGGCGGTGGAATTTCAGGTTGGGACTTGTTGCAACTATCAAGGTATTGCACATTATGTTCTTGATAACTTTCTTTAGTAGCTATAAACCGTTACCTTTCTTAAACCATGATCAAGAATGTGTTTGAATGTAAAATAATTCGGTTGAAAGGAGTCAAATCAAATTTTTCTGCTGAATTGTGAATCAACTTGTTTGGATTTCTTGTTGTGGAGATGCCATGGCGGCCATTCCTTCAGAAATCATCCACCACGGCATTTGCAATGGTGGCCATGGGACCGCCATTGAACAAGGTTCTTGGTAGTGTCATTCATACCCATTGGAGTAATGGATCACTTTACTTATTGTTGCAATTCGTTTGTGGCGATGCACTGGTATTTCCATTTAACGAAACGGGACTCAAGGTCATAACCATCTTCAAAATTTTGGAAACTTTTTAATCATAAAAATTGGACCCTTTATGTTAAAAATAACAGCACAATTTAACATTTGAAAGTATTACTATATATAATTTTTTTTTTCACAAAATAAAGCAAAAGTTGTGAACTTCTACCATTTGAAGCCCTTTACATCTCTCTGGCCAGAATCCAGTCTTGAAAGGTCCCACCTGCATGGGAGACATGTTCTTCTGTTACTCCTAATTTAGTCGACTTTAAATTCCTGACTTCAACAAAAGGTTAAATGCTGGACAATTGTTTAATTTTTGGAATTAAAAATGTGAATAGAGCATTTTACGGAATATCAATTGAAATTCCCTAAAAATTAGGTTACTCTCATCGAAACACGTATAAAAGTTTCTTATGTATACGAATGTGGTGAGACAAGCATGAAATTATGAGTGGTGATTTCATTTTTACTCAAAGTAAGAGGGTCGAACCATGTTTATTAATGGCAACCGATTACGTTGAATTTGACACAACAATGTTTATATTCTTTGCATTATATCAACTGCTCCTTGAAGCAGTTATTAGTTTATCTTGAGTTAAACATTGAAATTTATGGAAAATTAGTTTTTGTTCCCCTCNCGATTACGTTGAATTTGACACAACAATGTTTATATTCTTTGCATTATATCAACTGCTCCTTGAAGCAGTTATTAGTTTATCTTGAGTTAAACATTGAAATTTATGGAAAATTAGTTTTTGTTCCCCTCTTATGTTATTTTTTGCATTTGATTTGAAGGATCGGGCTAATGAGATATATAAACGAGTTGAGGACCAGAAGTCTAGTAGGGGAAGAAATCAGGATGCATTATTGGCTGCTTGCCTCTACATAGCTTGTCGACAAGAGGACAAGCCTCGCACTGTAAAGGGTGCAACCTTATGTTTCTTTTGACCTTTGATGCTTCCTGATTTATCTTTTCCTAAAGTTACCTTACATGAACCTATGGATTTGAAATAGAAATTTGCTCTGTTGCCAATGGAGCTTCCAAGAAGGACATTGGCCGAGCGAAAGAATACGTAGTGAAACAACTGGGTTTGGAGAAGGGCCAATCTGTAGAGATGGGAACAATACACGCTGGGGACTTTATGGTGAGGTTTTTTAATTGTTGAAGGTTGCTTATGATGCACGGCTAGCCAATTTAATCATTGGGTTAGCTGACGAATAAATTTTTGTTTGTTCCACTGACATTATTTCTCCTCAATCATTAGAGGCGTTTTTGTTCTAATCTCGGTATGAATAATCAAGCTGTTAAAGCCGCTCAGGAAGCTGTTCAGAAATCAGAAGAATTTGATATAAGGTCAATTTTATTTTGTCTTGTATTTTCTTTAGAGAATGATATAGTTCAGTGTTAAGGTTAGCTGCCATGTTATTTACCTTTTAATACTATTACATTATTGTTGATTATGAATTCAATAAATACCTTGGTGTCACTACTATTGAGGAATTTCAGGTGGAAAAAGTTGGCAATACTGTGACAAAAATGAACCAACCACACTAGCATAAGATTAGCGCTTTATAATTATAAGTGCTCAAGGGTTACGAGACTGGACGGGGGATATGGTTAAGGGTAGTATGCAATAGCTTTGAATTTGAACTCTTTCTCCTTTAACTAGGCAAATGATGAGTTTGTGGGTCATGAACTAATGTTAGACATATATAGGCTTGCTTTATTGTATTACACGCTTGCGTGACTCAATTTGAATTTAAAGGACAAATCATTTGCGCTGTCCTCTCACCACGAATCCATTTTAGTGTTTATTGCTTTCTTCAGCCTGTTTGATTGCACCACGAATCCATTTTAGTGTTTATTGCTTTCTTCAGCCTGTTTGATTGCACCACGAATGCATTTCCTTTTTTCATAATTTTTTTATTTATCTTGTGATAGATACTAATAGCATCTCTTAATCTGCAGGAGAAGCCCCATATCAATTGCTGCAGCAGTTATATACATTATAACTCAGCTTTCCGATGATAAAAAACCCCTCAAAGGTCAGTGCCACTTCTCCTAGGGTGAATGAAATAAGAACATTTCGACTGGTTAAATTGTCTACTCTATTTCTTATGTGATAAATTTGGAATTAAATTCGATTTCAAATAAGTTTCTAAAAGAGTATTCAAATGTATGAAGGTCTTAGTGATCA